CTCACTATCACCCCGCCATTCCTCCTTCAAACTTCTATTACAATGGTTCTCAAACTTTTTAGACTCAAGGCCCCCCTTGGAAAATGCCAGCTCTTAGTTTTCACTTGATTTTTGACTAGAGAACAAAAATAGTAAAGGTGCACTGACACATCAGTCCCATATCGTATCGGTATCAATAAAAGGAAAGCTGACATTAGTGGCAATTTTCTTTTTTGGCTGATGTGGCCAATAATGTTACCAATAAATGCCACGAGCATGCATGCAGCTGCAGCGCAGCCCAACAGCATGGAGAGCAGTGTCTGTCTGGTAAGTCTGTTGTAGGGGAAGGGGGGGGGGGCAGGCCAAGGCCCCCATGGTGAGGGAGGCAGTGGGGCTGGTGCTGGGGCAGGCACTGCACAGCCGGGGTGGGGTGGGGCAGAGCGCAGGCTGGGACGGAGCCACGAGCATCTTGTCCAAGGGGTTGCAGGGGAAGGTCTGCCACACACACCCCAGACAGGCATGGGGTCATGTACTCCCCTGGATCTGTGCACGGGGTGAGGGTGGGCTGACCCTATGGGCTGTGGCCGGGGGTGACACCAAGCTCTTCCTGGTGGGGGATACTGGGCCAGGGTTAAGCTTAGGGCGGGAGGCAGTAGCGCTGTGAGGGGGGCAACAGCCGCCCCAAAGTTTGCCATGTCGCCCCTCCCAGCACCACCAGTACCCTCCCTGAGTGCAGCCCGGCCCTGCCCCCCTGCTGGGATCAGCCCAGTGCCACCCCCAGCCCCACCCTGCAGCGGCAGCCCACCCTCACCCCACCCACATATCTGGAGAGCACATGCCCCCACGCCCTCCCAGGGTACGTGCAGCAGCAGGAGCCACCCCACACCCCCCGGACAAACCACAGCTCCGTCCTGAGCCTTGCCCCACCCTTCCTGTGCAGTGCCTCCCCCTACTCCAGTCCCAGTCCCAGCACCAGCCCCATTCCCTCCCTCTCTGCAGGGGTCTTGATCTGCTCCCTCCATGCCCCTTCCCTTCCCCTCCCCCCATCCACCACAACAGACTTACCAGCCAGACGCTGCTCTTCATGCTGCCAGGCCATATATTGGCAATTGGATTAGTATCGGCCAATATGGCTTGTTAAAAATCAGCCCTTGGTATCGGCGCAAAAAATCTCCATTGGTACACCTCTGAAAAATAGAGCAATTCTTCTGCTGCAAAAAACTCAGAAAGACTGTAACAGGTCAGAATGGTTGATGCTATGGATTCCTGTTTGAAATCTCTGGGTTTATCTTGTGAAACATGTCTGCACACCTAACAGTTCTAGCATTGCATGGCATCCCATGGCATCCTTGGCACCCTGGTTGCGAATCACTGCTCTACTGTGATGTCCATTTAAAAACAAATAACAGACAACTCTGCAGGCAACTGGTTTATATTTCTCCTCCTGACCAGTATGTTCACATTGTTTTTTTGGGCTATCCCTCTGATTTACTCCCTCTCCCCCCATTACCTAGACTTACATGTAGACTGTAAAGTCTATTCAGCACAGAGATGGTCCCTTTGGTATACAACTGTAAAGTGTCTAATATAACAGGCCTTTGGCCTCTGCACTACCAAAATACCATTGGCTGCTGAAACTGCAAGACATATTGTTCTGCTAAGAATTATTCTTCCAAGTCTGTATTAATAAATATTAATATTAATATCCCTTGTAGTTGAAGTTAAATAGGGTGGAGCCCGAGCTACTATTCTGCACTCCCTTCACACCAGGGTTGGTGTGCTTTCATGGAAAAACAGGGGAGTTTGGATCAGCACAGGCTGCTCTGTGGATAGAGAGCTTGAGCTTCCAGGGCCTATATTCTAGCATCTATTACAAACATCAGAATTATTTTAAAAATCATGACCTGGGACTGAAATTACAGAAAAAGTTACAACAAACACCTATGAATTACAAGCTATAGCTGAAGGACAAAACAGAGCTGAAATATTTCTTCTAGCACTAAGATATATTTGTCTATTCAGAAATGTAAGTAAATCCTTTCAGACAATGGCACCTAGATTCAAAACCATCCCTCAGAAACAAAGCTCTAATATGACTATCCATTGCAAGGAATAGTTATGTATGCAATAAATACCATTAACAATTTTACATGCAGCAAGACACTACTGCTTAGCTGAATGGCAATTCCATCAGACCCAAACAACACACACAAAAGCTTTAAAAAGGTGTACAATGTTTCTAAAAGTTACCACTATGCCCCTTAAAACAGAGGAAGCTTTGGAGCCAGGTACCTATATACAAAGTTCTTACTGAGGAAGTCCATCTGCGGCACTGTGGAAACGTGAATCTTGACTTCTTTAGTTCCTGCTGTTTGGCTCAGATAATCCACTGTCCATTTGGCTGTGCAAGCACCCAAGTCTATTCCTTTCAGCACTACTGGCTTCCTCTGAGAAGTGAACAAAAACAAATTTATAACATATTATCACTGAAAATCCAGCATGAAATCCAGCAATTTCCAGATCTAATTCTTGACGCTAAGTCCAAGAACAAGTCATTTTAAATTTCACAGAGTCTTTCCAGTTTGGCTGCACCAGGCCAAGTGATGTGCTGCTTCTAGGTACATCGAGATATTTAAAAATAAATTTTACATGCTGGGGTTTGTGCCTCACCAATAGTTATCCCATCTCATCACCATGAAAACATTTCATGCAAATATATGCAAAAATTAAGCACATACAGATCTCAGATATACAGGACAGATGCACAGGATCACTCAGATTGAATAGTTTTGATATTATTTTGAAGATCTACTAAATTCTTCTACGTGGGTCCAATGTACATTGCTTTTATATCTGGGGTGTCAATACATCACTGCATCTCAATGTAGAAAGACAGGCAAGCTTTTCTTTTGTCCAACCGACAGCAACAGGCCAGTGACTCCATACCCAAAAGGAGGGGTCACCCAACCAGTGATGCTCAATGTAGCATAACACGCTCCTCATACAGGGTCAAAACAGGCACATTTTTGAAGTGGCTTCCAGAGGCACCTGCACACTCAGCCACATAAGTTCCTGCGGGGCTTGTGCTGGGTTTGCAAGTTCCTTTATCTTTTCGGAGCCCAGCTGCTCCCCACATCAGGAACCCCAGGGGGCAGCAGGTATCCAGGCTGGGGCTCTTCCAGGAGCAAATGCCTTGTGTCAAAGAATGGTTCCAGAGTGGAAGATGGGCTCATGGAGACAGGCGAGCCAGGGAGCTGCCACGAAAGGCACAAGAAGAAGGGCACATCGGAGACCCCCTGCTCTCTGGCTGCTCTCAGCTTCCCGTGGCTCAGCGCCTTCCCCCTGGCATCGGTGCCAGACCATGTCTCTCTGCGCCTTGCTGCCTGCCATATTTAGATGAATGACAATTCTGTACGAATCACCAGTGTTGCCAGGTCTTTAATATGAAATTGTAGTACTGGAAGCTCAAAATTATCTTAGTTGCTGAAAAACTATTGTATGCTAAAAAAACAGGCAAGTAAGTATGCAAAGTAGTCCTCTTATTTACTCTATATTGCTCACTGTAAGACAGCAGTGAATGAGTGAGAACTGGGTCATCAAAGTCGAGCCATTTCTTTATTCTGAAGCAGGTAGTCACACAAAAGTGCTGAAACAAGCCCCAAAGTCTTAGCCCCTTGTGGGCTAAGATCAGTATAGTCACTGCACTAGTCTGTTGCCCAGACTGAAAGGCATTGTGTAGTAGAGGGTGCACCCCTGTCCAGCGCATTGTGGACAGGACACCCCATGAGTCTTGTATTTAGCTTCCCAGTGGCCAGCGTGGAGATGTGGGATTCTTCCCTAGCTTGTTCCTGGATCTGTTAGCTAAGGGCAAGTGAGACTTGGAGGGCATCCAAACCCAAAGGTGTCCAGGCTTGGGCCTGCATATAGGATGCCTGTCAATGGATTTGGGAGTACTAGAAGCTCCAGACTGAAAAGTCAGGGTGGAGGATACTTGACAGTTGTAGCGCCACATATGGTGTTTGAACAATTGAGTTTTGCTCAATAAAGAGGATTTGGAACCAATTTGGCTGATTTAACCTGGACATTAAAAAAAAAAAAAAAGAAGCCCCAAAGTCAATTAAGATGAAATTTCCCAGAAAAAGAAAAACATTTTTTTTTTTTCAAATAAATGTCCAAAAAATTTTTAAAAATAAAAAAAGCCCCAAAGTCAGTTAAGATTGACTGACTTTGGGGCTTTTTTATTTGGAATTTTTTTCATATTCCAGGGCAAATCAGCCAAATGTGTTCTGAATACTCTTAAGCAAAACTTAATGGTTCAAAACCGTATGCCATCTTCCCGCACATCGACTTGGGCTTTGCGTCTGCTGCAACAATGAGCTGCCTCAAGCACCCCGGCACCAGCAGCGTGGGGCACTGCTGCTGCTCCTGATGCCGCGTCCATCGCGCACGGCTGGAAAGGGTCGCACAGACAGGACAGCTCTCTACACCTGGCCACGCTGCGGGCCCCGCGCATTGGGGGCGAGCCAGGCTAGGCCCAGGTCCCAGGGACAGACCCGGCCGAGCCGCACGCGCGCTATCAAAGCTCTGCTTGGCAGTGAGTGAGCGATGCCCACGCGGTGCGTGTCCGAGCTGGACAGTCCGCTCCACAGAATACAACCCAGTCCCGCGACACGTGCGGGTAAGGCTCAAACGGGAGCGGGGCTGTAACGGCAGTAGCTTCTACGGGGGCGAGGGTCTCGTCTCACCTGCGGGTAGAGGTCCGCGAGGAAGCGGTCCCGCGTGACGCCCACGCTACAGGACACGGCTCGCGCCGGCTGCGCCATGGCGGTGTCGGCGCGCGCTCCCGGAAGCGGCGGGGCGGGGCGGAGGGAGGTCCCGGGGCCGCCGGCGGAACTGGAGAGCGTGGCCCGTGCCCCTGGCCCCCCGCCCCGGGCC